GCATAGCCATAGAGTATAGGCTATAAATTATCATTAAATACAAATTATTAATTGCAATATTGATTGAATATACCTATAATCTATCATTTCAAAGTTAGTTGTAATTTAAAATTATAATCGCAATTGATTACAGTTATACTACTCTTTCATCGCTTTAGGTTCTTAAGATAAAGTCAAATTGTTTGGTGTAGCTTTTAATTGTTTTAGACTCCTTGCAGTTCGATCAGAAGATTAAAATTTTCGTATGTGAATGTTCCACAGTTTAATAGATAGTTAACTAATAAGGTACAAATACAGAAATTATACTTGTTTCGTTTCTGTTTAGTTGTTAAATTTGGATGTAAGAGATTTAAATATTTGTTTTAAGTCTTGAAGTTTTATGTTCTTTTTAAAACAAATTTATGTATGTTATGTAAAGGGTTTATTTTTTAAAATTCATCTTCTGTAATCCTGAAATTTTGGCTAAGATGAATTTGAAAATCCTTGTCGATCCGTTTTCTCGCGGAAGAATTCAGTAAGCTATATTGTTACGTATGTAGTTCAGTAAGTAGCAGTATTGATGGATTATACCTCCTCGATAACATGACTCAAGTGGAATAGAAAGTTCTTGTAACAAATAGGTTACACATTTTTTCACATAAATAGCATGATAAAATTTGAAAAAGTATTCATGTTTTATTTATTTTGAAAAAATGCACATACATGCTTATGAATATTTATCTAAGTTCATATATTCATAAATTTTTAAAAAATCAGAACCATAGCAAAATTTGTTTTATTTGTTACAGTTATATTATATATTACTTTATATATTTCGTTTTTCGTATTTATATATTTGAAAACATGAACTTTGGTAAATATCTACAATCTAATAACAAATTGAAATCTCTGTGTAATGATAATTGATGTGTATTTATTATCAAATTTTTTGTGTTAGGAACGTTCAATTTTTATGACCGAAAATTATAATATTACGTTCACCATTAATAATTTATAATGCTTTCTATATGTGTAATTGACCAATAAATTTCAATAATATATAAAGGCATTACAATAAAATGGGAATGAATATACGCGTAACAGTATTATAAATTTTAACTTTTATATTAAAATATTCTCGGTATCATTATTTTTCCAACTTTTACTTTATAGAACAAAAATTAAAACGTAAGATTAGAAATTATAATAGAACGTAATAAATATCATTTTTCATCTATCTTAATTTTAGATTTTGAATAATTACCTGGACTTAAAATTTTGATAATCTGAATAACAAAAACAAATTAGATAGAAATACATTAAAGCGTATTGTTATGTTTTAAATATTTACACGGTACGTAGATGCATAAAATAGTCAGCCCAATTAAGATAAACTTTTCTTTACACAAACCTCCTTTCAACCATGAGTGTTAACTTACTTTCTTATACTTGATCGTTCAATGAAATCTCAGCGATACCGTTAAGTCCAAAGAATATAATTGGGAACTTGAAGTATCTTTAAACAGGCTGAGCATGAGTAAAATATACTCAGTGTCCTCTTTATTCTAACCCATTGAAATATACCCGTTACTTTTAACAACAAAAAATTTACAGATTAAGCTTTTAAATAAATATTCTAAGTGATTATTCTTTTCTAGACGGAATAATATTAAAATGTAAAATTTGTTTTTACAAAGACCCTATTTTCTTTATTTGAAAACTAAAACGATATGATAATACAAGTTTAAATATAATGTACATTTCGTATAATTTCATTTACCAAATACGTTATACGCTGATTTTTATTTTTCATCTTGTTAAAGAAAAGTAATATGTGTTTCGCTTAACTACTTTATTTGCTCTTAAAAATTGTATAATGTTAGAAATTGTTTAGCAATTACAGTGGTTATTTTATAACATAAATATTCTTTTTGATTTGCCATTAAGGATAGCGAAGACATTTAAAATTACTACAATAAAAGAGGACACTGTATACATATACATATATAAAATCTTATTGTTGATCTCCGTCCTGCTTTCTCCCGCAATTATTTCCGGCACGTAAATATATACTGACTTAAGTGTTAATAGGGCGCTTTAAATTAAGCAAGATAAAAATTTCAAGATTATTCTACATTATTAGTTGAATTCAAATATTTACAACTATATACATTATTATAATTATATACTATTCGTAGGACATAACATGTTTATGTTGTTATACAGTTGCAGTTTACACATTTTTATCTTAAATTATATTTTACACGAACAACAGACCAATTATTATCAATATAATTATATTTTTACAATGTTTAAAAAGAAAATAACTTTTACGACTGTTACGCGATGGTATTTCATAATAAATTAAACAACATAACCTGTGAAAGTATTAAAATAAAATTTTGTTAAAATATTGGAAAATGAATTAATTATTCAAGGTTTTTAAATGTAAATAAAAATATACATATTTATTAATAATTCGTTTGTAGTAGTTGAATAAGTCTATTCTGATACTTACGATAACAAGAACAAGAAGGTTCCAGTTTATTAAAATTCGAACAAGCATCTAATAATGTTATTTGTCTATATATGAATTTTTTAATATTTTAAATCATAAAATCAAACAATCCGTTTTACAAATACAAATAATGTCAAATAATAGTCGAAATACTTGAAAATCGTATTAAAAGAAATGTGAATTGTAATGTTTCATTTTTAATATTCCCGCTTTTACGCAAGCGCGTAATAAACGCGCAGTTGATAGGGAATTTCTTATATAGTTTGATACATAAGAATATTCCTTGGACAAAGACGTATTATTCATTACATTGTCAGTACATACCTTACAGAGTTGAGTGGTGTTTTCGCTGCTACAATTATATATCGTTAATTTTAAGAATTTTTGACAAAGGTTTTCAGTCATTTACTAAAAAGTAAATACTTAAAGAACTACATATTGATTATTAATTGAAATTTTTATTCCTCAGAAATAACCTCACTTAAACAATAAACATTTCGATTATCGCCCGAATATATTTATCATGAGCTGTTAATTCTGTGTAAAATGCGAGATTTCATAACACTGTTGTACTATTGTTTCATTAAAAGTTTTACTTAAATTTGAAATCTCCACGTTAATAAAAAACGAAAAGTAACGGAAAAACCGGAAAAATGTTAAAGTTTTTGGTATGTTATAATAATTATATTTACTTGATATTTCAAATATAATAGAAGTATTACTATATTCTGTTTTCATTTAGTTAACCTTTGGTGCTGGTATTTATACTGGTATATATATTTCTCAAAATTATGAGGTATGTTTATAGTCTTCTGTCATTTCTTAATATAACAATGATTCAATTGAACGATGAAATTTATATTTATTGCACATATAAATATTATTTTTATGCATTTTAGATACCTCGTGTAGATGAGCCTTCTAAGATAGTTAAAAGACTAAAGGAATTGGCGGATGAATATAAAAAAAAATAATTTAATTGAAGCTGTATATTGTTCTTACAGAATATTCTGTAATGAAAATACTGAATAGCCATGTAAATAAGTACGTAACATATTTATAACACATGATATTTTTGTTTTTGTTTTAATAAAACATTTTTACATAATGTGTGTAGTTCTTTGTAATTTATGCATAAAGTAAGATATGTCTAATTTAAAAGAATTGCTTATATTAAGTATGTATGTATGTATATAAATATATTTAATTCCATTGTGATTTGCGTCATACATATATAAATCCACCACCAGAATATTCTAGTCGAGCTTGTGGTTCCACGAATGCTAACCAATCAGATGCATGTGTTGGAAGTAATCCCATCCATTGACATTTATACAATGCTAGTGCCATGTTTACTAGTTGCCCCAAGAAATATACAAACTTCTGGGCAAAAGCATGAGTTCCCTCAATGACTTTAAATGCTGAAAACACAATTTACAGAGCATTAACATTTTGGAGACTTAATATAAACAGATGACTTCAATAACTTTTCATTGATTTTTAAATAAAAATTTTAAAACTTCTTTTTTTTCTCCGTCTTTATGATTGTACAATTAATAGTGGAAAACTTTATACATGGATTCAAATAAATAAATAAGAAGATATTTTAATATTTAATCTGACAAAGTTACCAAAATTTTCATTCAAATATTCCATTTCTGTATAATTTCTATTTAATTGGTGTAATTAAAACTTTCTACAAGTATATTTAATGCAATGAAAAAATATAGTGTGAACTGCAAAAATGATAAAATGTACTACACTCAGCCCTCAATTCACGCGTCACATTTTTCATACAAGATTGTGTATAAAAACTAAAGCGTAAATTGAGGAACGGGTATACATAGGTGATTATATAAAACCAATATCTGTTTACACAGAAAGTAATTCTCAATTTAATAGTCATGAATATAGCAAGCTCTAGAAAATAAAATGAAAGTTCTTCATTCATATCAATTTAACAGATAATCTCATAACATTTATTATTTTTTCGCATTTTTAAGAATATTTTCCCTTTTGTTTGAATTATTCAAAATACATTGTTAGACACATTCCTAAATTAAATAATAATTACTTTTCAATCCACATTTAATAGACATATGAATCTAAAGAACATTGTCTGCTCTTAAGACTGGTAAGTTTTCTTTATAAGTACATGCAAAATGAAATTACATATATACTTTGGATCTAACTTTTGAAACCAAAAATTTGTTATATACTGTTATGTGCAATATAATGCTAGAATAATTTCCTCTATTAATCTATATTCTCTTATATTTATAGCATACAACTTTAAGCCTTTGAGTAACATTTAAATTTGTTTCTTAATGCATGACATAAACAACGTTTGATTCAATTCTTAGACATGATAAATTTAAATAACTTTATTTAGGGTTTCATATTATAAGATACACTTTCTAACAAAAGTTTAAAAAAGAAATCTCTGAGCATGCTCAGAGAATAATAAAGAATTATAAATGTAAAATAAGAACTATTACTAGATTGTAAGAAGCTAACTTATAACTTCATTATATCTTTTTCGATAATAATATGCATGTATAATTATAGTACTTACTTTGTTGAAGAGTAAATAATGCCTTTATTGGTCTAATGATTAACATACCAACCATCATAATAGGAAATATTGCTATAGAATTACCCGCCATATACATAATAAATAAATTCATTGGAAGTTGCTTAAGAGGTCCCAAAGCTAGATCCCATGATTTTTTCATTATTAAATGATTAGAATCTGTTTCTCTTATAGAATCCGCAGCATGAAATAATGCAACAGCTGGTGTATAACCAGGTGGAGCAGGAATATCTACATTTCTGTCCTGTTTATTCCTGAGAAAAATAATTTGACTTTTATACTCAATTAAAAAATAATTAAATTGCAACATAATATTTATTTGTAAGAAAAACGTGTAAATGAAAAATAATACCTTCATAATTCTTAAATGCAATTCTAATCGTTTCAATTTTCAATAATTTACATTTCAATGAAACGATAATACATAACCTATACAATTTTTAATTATGTACTTAAGTACATACCAAGAAAAATGACAAGTCTTAATGTCTAATTGATTTCTTATATTTTATATCATGTAACGCAACAAAATAATAAAACTACATTTTAAGTCAATCAAATTTAAAATGCAAATATGTGAATTAAAGACTACTAACTTGTGTGCGAAATCCAGAGCCCATTTTGATCGTTTTGTATTTTGTTTAACTGCCATCATTACTGTTGCATATAGCTTATAATTACCGTATTAATATATCGGTTTATAAGTGTACAATAAAACAATCTATACCAACAATCCAAAATCACTGAACGTTTGTATTATTATATGGTTCATACAGAGGCGCAAGTTGTCCCTCTTTCCGAAACCTATTTCAAAAGCACATGCGCGGTTAGATGCATAAAATTTCGTCATATAATAGTTAAATAAAAACTTTAAAAACAAATTACTGTAAAATTTATTATATAACAATATTCAATTATTACACGTGTAATATGATACGACAAAAATATTATTTTTAAATATTCTAAAGTATTAAAAATGTAGTTTTTAACTTTAAAAGGTTCACTATGAATAATTTTTTCTTGTTCATGGAAAAATGAAATTAATGTAAAGTACGATGTATTTAAAAACAAAATATTGTAACAAAAACATGTATCTATACAACTATGTTTTGTTTTTTAATTTGTTATATTACTAATTTTAATTAATTTTCATCATATTTAGCAAATAATGAAAATGTATTGTATAAATATACAAAATAAACTTTTGGACAAAGATCAAGAAACTAGAAATTATTTTAATAAAAAATTTGTAAGAAACATTTATTAATATTAAGATACATTTCAAAAATTTTTGATTTCTCTATTTCTTTAATAAATTTTCTCAATTAAATATAAATGTAAATTAGAATAATGTTGTTGGTTTTTCCCACAAAAAAGTAATAAAACGTTTCATTTTATGTATTCTTTATGTATTGTATTTTGCTTTAAAGGATAAGTGTATTACCAGCTCTTAAACAGAAATTGTTAATATTTTCATACCTGCTTACTTTCAGAAAGAAAATAGAACCAATAATGTTAAGGAATGTCTTACAGAATATTCCTTGGAAGATAAAATGGAAACTTTAAAATACATGATTGCTTATAATGCAAAAAGTATACAAAATGTACCACAATATAGAAATATTGTACCTAAACCTACTGTTGGTGTAAGATTATAATATATAATAATAAATTTTCTTTTAAAATGATGTATGCAAAACTATGTTTGTTAACTTTCTGCACAGTTCTTATCTTCCATTAAAATTTTATTTCGCAAGTATGCTAATAGTATATCTAATAAATAATTTAAGGTAAAGGAATGTTTAGAAGCAAATCAGGACACACAATTTCAAACTCTTATTTCTGAGTTAAGAAATACTGTGATGAACAGCTATTGGAACAAGGAAGTTGGTAAAACACGCTATAATATTCCAAATCTTCCAATTGGTTTAAATCCATGGGAAACAAAATTTGGAAAAAAAAATAAATTTGGTAAAAGCATAATTAAAATATAATCTAATCATTATGTAATAAATCTGTAATAATAACTTCACATTTTTTATTAATTAGAAACACCTATTGCTGAACTACTTCATGCACATGAAAATCAAATTGGTATTTTAAATCCGGATATTCTTAACATGTATAAAAAAAGTCATAATAATTATCAACCTGCAGAACAAATGAAAAGGAAGTATGTAATAACAAAATGACAAATAATTGTATATTATATTTCAATTATTTATTACTTTAAAATTTTTAAGAATTAAATTGTACTTGCAGCTATAAGGAACCATTTAATCCAAATTCTTCCTTTGGACAATCAAACAGTACTAGCATTAAAAACACACAAGTGAAAAAACATCTAACGTGGTGTAATTCTAATTCCTTTACACTTGTTAATTCCATTTTAGCAGATTTTAAAACACGTTCGCAACCTTGTTTAGGAGAAGTAAGGTGACAAGTATTTATTACAAATTAAATTTAGTATAAAAAAAAAGAAACACTGATTTCAAAAAAAGTTTCATTATTAAAAAAGTATAATTTTTTATGAAAAATTGTAATGAAACTTTTTTTGAAATCAGAGTTTCATCTTTTTGTTCAGAAAATTTAAGTAATATAAATTCTACTAAGTAATTTGTTATTTCTATTGCAACATATTGTCATTATTGTATTTACTTGAATTAATGTTTTTAGAAATTTTAAAAAAGGATATTCATATATGAATATGGTACATGGAAAATCAAGTAAAAAACAAATAAAACATGAAACAAATATTTTAACTGACTCTCCTGTCAATAAGAATATTATAGATCATCAAAAATATTTACAATATGTAAACAGCTTACGTCAAAAGTTTAAGAAATGTGTTCCAGAAATTCCATTTTTAGACATTTATGAAGAATTATGCAATTTTGACAAAGTAATATTTTATTTTTATTTAACTTTCCTATGATTTAAATTAAATTTTGAAAATTTTAGAAATTCATTCTTCACTAATAAAGTATTTTAAATATTTAATAGATAAGCTTAATATTTATAAACATCTAATGACAATATGTACTCAAATCATGCAATACCTCCATAGGATTACATAGGAATATTACCAGAAGAAAGAATCTTTTCTACAGTAGCTAAGTATAAAATGTATTTAAACAAAGAATATTTAATACCATTACTGGATCTTCTATTGATACGTAAAGACAAGAATATTAATTACAAAAAATTTTTAAATCTTTTAAATTGGAAATATGATTTTCCCACATTTCCAAAAGTAGATAGTAAGATATTTTAATATATTTATTTAATATTTTTTATTTTAATCCTTTAAGATCCATCTCCATAATATTACATTTGTTGTGTGCTATACTGAAATTCTACTGTCATAATAGTTCATATACAAAATTATTTTATGTACAAGTTTATACATATAACAATATAAGTTTTTTCAAAGAGTAGTGTTATAGGTCATAAATATAGAAATTAGTGTTTATAGACATTTATGTAATACAATAATCAATTCTCGAAGAAAACTTGTTTTTCAACATATGTTTTTAAAAATAAATGTGTTCTTAAAGGATTAAAGAAAAATATGTAACAAAGGTATTAAAATCAATATTTTTTACATCAAATTTTTTCAGAAATTTTATTAGAGTGTGAACACTATAATACTGTCTATAATAATACAATTGGAAATATAAAAGAAATAGGTATTATAAGTTAGTATATTTGTTATTGTTCATAATGTGAAAATATTGATAAGATAAAATATACATACATAATATATATTGTATGTTACATTTCTATTATTAATATTATATTTGTTAAATAATTCCATATACATCATATATATGTATGTATATGATTTTCCTAGAATGTATATATGATTAAGGATATTTTTACAGAAAAAGTTTTGCATGGATCTTTAGAAGATAAAACATTTATGGCTTATAATCTCATATCTCCCACTATTTTCACCAAATATGGGATTAGCCACAATGATCTTTGCAAAGTATGTTTAATGCAATTAATTCATTTATACGGATATTAGGGATTATAAAATCAGGGATTAAAAACGTTCCAAAATAACTGTTTGAAACTGTTATATATTAGTTTCGATTGAAACAGTTACGAAGAATGAAAATAAAGTCATAACTGTTATTTGGTATATCGGTTCTGAGTTATATTGGTCTCGGTTCTAAGTTATATTGGTCTCGGTTCTGGTTCTATATTGATTCTATAACTCTTATAAAACCGATATAATATCGGTTTTGAGAAACCATAAGCAGAACTGAAATCGATGTACCAAATAATAGGTATGATTTTATTTCTGTTCTTCATAACTGTTTTAAGAACCGAAACTAATATCGGATTTGAGTAGTAATTAAATTTCATATTTTTAAAAATCATGTTTTACAGCTTCGCACTAAAGAAGAAATAAAAGATATATTTGAAAATATTGGAGTTCAATTTCCTGATGACAGTTTCAATTTAATTTGGGAGAAAGGATTAGAAAAGTACAATACACAAAATTTGTCAGTGGAAACTTTTAAAAATTTATGTGATCGAAGTGACATGATAGTTGAAATGGATAAAGAGATTAATTAATAAATGATAATCAATTATTCAGTGTCCAAAATAAAATTAATATTTTCAACAACTTATTACATTTGAAATACAAAATTTATTTAAGCTATATACAGTAATACCAACCGTCTATATCTTCATTTTATGTAAGGTATATAATTACATGTTTTATACATTTAACGTATGTTTGCAGAAATACAATAGTGTAAAAATTTCAATAATTTTATTGAATTTATTATAAACTTTACTTCATCTTCTTTTTCACCTAATAATACCACTAAAGAATATAAATATCAGCCGAACTTTGAAACGTATAAACATTTAAAGCCTACTAATGAATTTAAAAATTTTGTTTTAATTAAAATCCACTGCTTATATATATACAAATAATAATTATTTACTACTAATCTTGAGGTTTCAAAAACTTTGGCTTTTTTGATTTTGGTTCAATAGATTTAACATTATTTTTTTGTGAATGTTTCTCATAGGATTCAGGTTTTGTTTTATTCTTGAAGTTTTTCCAATGTTCTACCATTTGCTCATCTGAAATATCTGTTTCATTCTTCAATTCCATTGAAACACGTTTTTCATTTTGTTCTGCTTCCATTAATTTTTCAATTTCAGGATTCATTCCTTGATAACTTAATCTACCATCAATTAATTTTTCACAAAAGACGTAACTAGGTTCTATGATGAATCTTTCTCTTAAATACATAAGAAAAAAATAAATAAAATTTGTATTCCTTAATTTCATAAGTTACTTAAATATATAATTACATAAAATATATTAATTTTTATTCTTATTTGATAACAATTATATACATATATTCTTAAATTTGATAATAATTAAATTTCTTTACAAACAATATTAATTACTGTAAGTTCATGTAATCTATATTTTATATAAAAATATAATATATTAAAACTGGATGTTACATAAATTTTAATTTTTTCGATAATTAATTTTAAATAATTAACCCTTTTATAGAATTGAAAATTAATAAAAACTTACGATTCTTTTTTCATACGTTTTGTGAGTTCATTTCCAAAATATTCTTCACCTTCTTCTTGAAATTGTTGCTTTTCTACCTTCTCCTTAGTACGTTTCATAAACTATATTAAAGAAAATATAATTTAATACAAAACAGTATCTTCAATATAATTTTTCATAACATTGAAAAGCGTTTCGAAATAATTTAACTTACTTTCATTTCTAATATACTTTTTGATAATTTTGCTTTGTTGGAACTCATTGTTCTATTTTAAATTACAAATATCAAAAAAATAACTTTATTTGTAATCGTAAATCACATATAAATAAAAATACACGTGATAATTGATATTTCTTCGTTACGAATTTCAACTTGTAACGTGTGAGTGATAGTTATTTGATTTGACCTCACTGAAATTCGTTTTTAATATGTATAACCTATTTGTTTAAAAAAAGTCAATATTTTGTAGCAGGGAGAATTATTGAACTTTATTTTAACTATAATGATTTTAGTTAATTGGGCATATAGTTAGCACGATATGTTTAACGTGAAAATTAGAATCTATCAGGACAAAAAAATAACCTATTCAACAAGCAATTCGCTGCTTGAGAAGGAAAAAAATTATATGCACTATATATACACTTGAAAGTGAGAAATTAATACGATATTCTATTAAAAATAATAAAAGAGAAGTTTTTCATTTTATCTATCGTACAGTTCTGGTTTTGTAATTTTGTGTTTGTATAGTTTCTTGAACGTCTATTTTTTATATTCGCTATTTTATGATCTAACCTAGCAAATTTTGATAAAAAGGAATAGGAAATGGAAAAAAGATGTGTACTTGCAACATTTATTATAGATTTATTATAATATATAGATAATACATAATATAGTGTGTTCTTAGATCACTTAATTTTACATAAAGCGATTAAATATTTTAATATATTATAAACAAAAAAATTGTAGCTAACTTTATAATTTAAATATTATAAATTAATTTTAATTGTGTAATAGAATTTTTTATATTTTTATTAGTATATATCACATTTCTATTAAAACATAGTATAATTTCTGCATCCCATTATCAGAAAATATTCATATGCTACTTTATATATAAAAGTTCATTCTTTCTTCACTTCTGATTTACTTGGTGGATTTTCCTAAAACAAAACCATGCTTGTTAATTATTAATAATGTATACTTAATATAAATTGGTGATAAATATATTAGAAGTATAATGAATCAATATTAGGAGGATAGTTTTAGAGAAATTCAAAAAGGGGAAGACAGGAAGGATACCTAATTTTTATTTAACCCATGTGGTTTGATTGTTTGAATTTTGTGTTTCTATTAAGTGCAGAGTTTCTTTTGGTATAATTAGTTCTAAATGTTAGATATTATTTTCTTTGTTATGGTGTAATGAAGCAGCAGTATGGACTTTTAATGAATCTTCATCGCATGTTTTGAGATCTATAGTCAAAACCATTTTAAAAAAACAAATATCCATCTTAACAATTAATCTATACGTAATTTATAATGTATTTTACTTTATAAGTATATTTTATAAATATCTTTGCTAAATAACTCTTAGAAGTATACTTCAATTGATTATATGCATAAAATACTTATAGTACATATAATCTTTTCAGAATATTTCAAAACAATATGATAAATTAATATGATTGTATATAAAACGAATATGATTAGGAGATAAGGGAGGAATGATGCAACAAGGAATTCGCGTTTTTGCATCCTACCTCCTTTTTCTCAGTTGCAGTATTTGATACTTTCTGTTCAAATGGCCGTGTCAATAATTGAAAGTATTCCGATTCAAGTACATTTTTTACTAATGGTAACTCTCTAAATGAAGTTTCCTCTTTGTTATCTCCTGGCTTAACTGAAATTATGTGCATGATTAAAAATGTATTGTTACATTTAAGTAACAAGTTATATTTCATAAAACTTAATTCATTTTTATACTTTAGTGTCATAAGATACGATGGAATAACTTATTAAATTTTATCATAAAAAGTTTTACTTATATTTGGAGACTATTTTAATAGTAGTTACTAGTATCTACCACTTATATTATTAATGCAGAAACTTGTTAAAATTTGAGAATTTCGAAAAATCTTTTGACATCTAAGGAGACATATAGAATCACCTTAACTTAATTACTTAACTTAAAAATTTAATTATTTCAAAATAATAATACATACCACCATAAATAAAATTGTATGTGATATGTCCGTAATGTTCTACCGTATTAAATGCTTCTTTAGTTTCCTTAGGAAAACAAACAGCTGCAGCAATACCAGTTCCTACTGTAGTATATCCTAATCTTTTAAAAAAACCTCCTCTAAGACCTAGTATAAATCCTGATAACCCACCAATACCAACAGCTCCAAGTCGTGGCATGAGATTGACTTCATCTTGAAGATAATTGATTATGACTATAAAAAATATATAAATAATTAATTTAGAAATTTATAGTTTTTACTCCAATATTTGTAATACGGGAAAGTTAGTTTTATTCACTTGATCTAATTTTTTTTAGTATTATTATTTATCATAATAACATCATACAAATCGTCAATTTTTAAGTTTTACAAACCATCTCTATTTTAACATCTACAATATTGTATTCAAAATAGATATACACATTTTTAATTGCAGCAACTTTACATTTTTAATACACATGCAGTACATAAAATATAATTAATATATGTTTTAATATATATATTTTAATATATATTTTATTTCCTTTTAGCTTTAATTACAGTAGCATACAGTGACTTCCAGAACTAACTTTATGGCTTGATATTATAATTATTTTTATAATAGTAATTAATTGAGATTCTTTTTTTAATAATAGGTCATTTATTAATAGTAACCTTTTTGTTGTTAGTAGGAAGATACGTTGATTCTTACATATCAAATCAGCTTAGGCAATTTTCAGATGTATTATGTATTTTAAGCTGGCAATCAGAGGATTAATAAAGAGATATAACTTACTTAATATGGTGGAGGTAGAACATTAGTCTGCAGCTATATTTTAATACATGAACTTAGAAATTTGGTGTTCATTGGTAATATCATGGATAAAAATGTTTAATCAAACATGTTTAAAAATAAGATTCGAAGTGATAATACAGTTATAAGCTATAAATTGTGGAAATATCAAACCATATAGTCAGAATATTTTTAGGAGTCACTATAAATAAAGTTAATAAAGAGTTTCGGATAAGAACTTTACAATAACAGAAGAGTTAAAAAAATATAAATGAAAAGTAAAATATGTGAATTTAAAATAAACTTATTAAATTTATGAAAAAAAGTATAAATGATAGTATATAATGTTAGATATAAATACTTACATTTAAAATTATCAACGGTTGCTGAAACATTCTTAGAAACATCGTCATACACATGACTTAATTCTTGTATTTGTATACGTACTTTTCTAATATTTTCCTCTACAATAGATCGAGAATATTCTGGGCTAGAGAAGATCATGTAATAAATTATTTTTTAAGGAAGTAAAAATTCATAAAATAATATTTTTTATAAATGAATAAAAATATAATTATCAATATGAATTTACTTGCGCTTTACCATGGCACCTGTTCAGAATACACATCTTCAATTGCATAAATGGGTAGTTTTGATGGCTTTATTAACTTTTCTGATTTTGTCTCGTTACAACATGGTTTAGTCTGCTCTTCTGGTGGATTGGCAGGTTTTATTGCTGGTACTGCAGCGCAAAGTCCACACGGCATCAAAAATTTCTTGAACAACTTCATGTAAACATATAATTGATCTTTTTTACACAGTAATAATGATATTTAAACGATCTGAGAGAAATATTCCTAATTGTTATTTTAAACAGTATTGTGTTTATTTACTATTAAATTCATTGAAATTTAATGAAAATAATGGTTTGCCTACATCTTATTGCAGTAAGTAAGATAAAATAAATAGGACCACATAAATTGAAATTATGTACACATGTTTTATTTTTATCGATAGTATATTTTAACTGATGTAATTAATGTTTATATAACCATATAATTACCAGTGTTCGTTGCATTTTGTAATAAATAAAATTCAGTCTTATAGTAAATCTTATTTACAATTTATAATTCATTCATAAATTAGTTTGAAATGTTTCTAGAAATTTTCAATCTAAGTTAACACGAAATTATATAAATTTCAGCAATGATAAAATACATTCGACAGATGAAAGTTTTTGCATTCTCTTAAATCAGAGACATCTAGCGTTTATCTCAAAGATAAATGTGAGCAGAACAAATTGTTAATGTACTTTTTGTTTTGTTTAAAAACAGATAATTTTACAAAATGATAATTGGTTATTCTTAATTTGACTTACAAAATTATGTTCATGACTTAAATATGTAAATAAATAATTATGCTGTTATGGTAACATACACTAAATAAATGACAAAGTTCGAGCAAGTGAGATCATTATGATTTACAAAGTTACATAAGTCTAAATAAAAATTTTTTATTTTGTTGTAACAACAACAACAACAACAATAATAATAATGTTAATTTAATATTATTACAGTTATATTTTTATAGTTAATATTGTATTAATATTTTCAATTATAATTTCTACATTAC